GTAACACACATGTTCCTCTTCACTGTAGGGAACATTCACCTTCAGTTCCACTCAAGTGGAAACCACTACGTGTGGAGCAAAGTGACGTCGACTGTTCACAACATCATCGTCGGGAAACTGTGGATCGATCAGGTGTGTTTCTGTAAAAGGCTTGGACAGTGAGGCGCTGTGTGTGTGTGTGTGTGTGTCTCACCGTCTTCTCCTCTGTTGCTGTTTTCAGTCTGGAGACATTGACATTGTCAACGTCACCACCAAGGACACCTGCCGTCTCAAGTTCTCCCCCTACAGCTACTTCTCCAGAGAAGTGCCACGAAAAGTACGTCTGGTTGAATCCCTGTTCACTGTGGGACCAGCGGCGCCCCCTCTGTCGGTCCAGATTATCTGCATATCAGACTGTGCCTTAAACCCCTCCCCGCCCCCCGATATTTCTTAAAACACCGCAACTTCCTACGACGTTATAAATAATTTGCCCCTCTCTGCGAAAACTCTGTGCCCCTGGGGAGGCCCGCCCCTCATTTTGGAAACCACTCTTTATCCGTTTGAAGTACAGAAATAAGTGATGATTTTTTTTTTTTTAATCTCATCTACATGTGTGTCATTCCATGTGGGGACACTAGGTGACAGGAGTGGTGGAGGACAGAGACGGCACGGCTCGGTACATCCTGTCTGGAACCTGGGACGAGAAGATGGAGAGTTCCAAGATAGTGGACAGTAGCCCCGGAGGTGGGGGCTCTGAGGGCAAACAGAAGACGGTATATCAGACACGTCAGCCCAAACTGTTGTGGAAGAAATACCCTCTACCGTAGGTTCACCCACGTCTGCCCCCTGCTGTTTGTCTTCTTTTTTTTTTTTCATAAATCTAAAAACCTTTTTTTTTTTTTTCAATCTTTCACTCTCCAGAGAAAATGCAGAGAACATGCACTTCTTCTCCTCCCTGGCCCTGACTCTGAACGAGCCCGAGGAGGGCACCGCGCCCACCGACAGTCGCCTGCGGCCTGACCAGCGGCTCATGGAAGAAGGTCTCTGGGATGAAGCCAACGCCCAGAAGCAGCGACTGGAGGAACGACAAAGGCTGGAGAGGAAGAAACGAGAGGCTCAGGCCAATCAGGCCCTGGAGGAAGGTGAGGAGAGACGAGAAAAAAAAAAAAAAAAATAGACCTGAAGTGTAACCACTGCAGTGTCTGAACTTTTTCAGTGCAATAATGCAAAAATCTAGAGGGCGCCATCTTCAGTCATTATGACTGTAACTGCATACATTTCTACAAAACTCAGGCATCAACCACAAACAGTGATGTTGTTTTTCCTAAATGCTGTATTTTAGCAGCAAAAAGACACCAATCATTTGATGATTACAGAACCTTAATCAACATCATGACGTCACCGTTGACTCTGTTTAGCCACGACTAATGATTCTGTGTCGTCAGGACAAGACATCGAGGGCTACCAGTCAATGTGGTTTGAGAAGAGGACGGAGGAAACGACCGGAGAAACGATTTACGTCTACAAAGGAGGATACTGGGAGGCCAAAGACAGACAGGACTGGTCCCAGTGCCAGGAGATCTTCTGAGACGCCACGTTTTATCACACCCGGTCGTCGGGCGGAGTGGAAGCAGCTGGTGTTAGGACGTGTGTGTGTGTGTGTGTGTGTGAGAGAGTGTGAATGTGCACTAGGGATGCAACGATGTATCGTGAATCGTGCAAGATCTAAGCAGCAGGCTTCGTTATCTCAAAAAGTCACTGGTCAGACCATGACACTACACACTCTAGTACAGTAGGTGGCAGTATGTGCCTAAAAACAGTGGTTGTGACCCACTATCAAACCCAGACGTCAGGTCCCTACGTAGGCTGAGAGACGTTCAGGTGTTGGAACAGAACGTGGGAAGAACTGGTTCCACAGACACCAACAGTGTTCTCCAGTGGAACTCTTTCCACTTCCTGTTTTTTCTCTTCTTCTTCTTCTTCTGTTGTTGTTTCATATATTGACAGTTAACCAGGTCAACCAGACCAGACCAGTTTGACCAGTTTAACCAGAGCAGAAAAAAAAACCTTATCAAATCGTATGCTGTATCGTCCGTTGAGTGCATCGTTACATCCCTAGTGTCCAGAATCTGAAGCACAAAACAACAACAAGTACAGACTCTAATCCGTCCGTCAGTTTCCGTTCTGCTCCTCAGCTCCGACTGCATGGCCTTCCTTCGTGTCATTTCGCTTCAGCTGCGACAAAATCCACCAGAAAGACCAGTTCTGTTCAGTCTACGTTTGGATTTAGTCCCGTTCTCCTCACAGCTGGAACACGTTCTTACAGACTTAACACTGACCTGATCCTCTTCCTCCTCTTCCTCCTCTTCCTCCTCTCTCCTAATGATTCGTTCTTAAGATTTTACTATTCTTTTTCTACAAATCGCACAAAGTGTTTTACAAGGATTTCACCGTCACAGTTTTGTCGGATCAGTGGAACCCAAAGTACTGATCCGTATCTTAACCTTTAGATAAAAACTACCGTTTTAAGGTTTAAACAGCAGCACAATTCCTCTTCAGTACAAGTTCTTCGGGGTCATTTACGGTAAGTCTTCAGAGTTTTCGGAAGCTTAAACCTGAGCTCAGGATTGTGGTTCTCTTCTCTCTACAGTGACTCGTTGGTGGAAGTACAACATTAAAACCTGCCGCCTTTAAATCCACTCCACACAAAATAGACCAATAATGTGCTCCGTTGACGGTTTTCTTCAGGTAGCGGTGATACTGGTGCTTAATGCTAACCTAGCCTTAATAATGCAGAGACACCGGTTACAGAGGCGTTGGTACAAAATGCAATAACAACAGAAATTTGACACAAAACTTTTTTTGTAGGGATGTCCGATATGAACTTTTTGCCAATCAATTAATCAGTTAATAATCACTGATTATTAAAATAGAGTAATAAAATGAGCTGCAATGCTGCCATCTAGTGGCTTTCAATTTCATATACAGCTGTTTTTCCCCAAAATTATTTTTAAGGCGCAAATCATTTGGTGAAACCCAGGCATCGGGTTTATCATTATCAGAGGAAAAAATGATAATTCTTGCCGAAATTACATAATTATGCTAATATCTGGCTGATAATATCCACCGGTCGATATTATCGGACATCCCTACTTTTTTTTGTTTTTATTGTATTTTTGGAAACTGCACCAACTTTTCTGGAAGTCAGTTTTGTAGAAACTCCTTCGAACGTCTCTTCCCATGAGACCTTGTTTACGCTGGAGAGGAACTCGGAGTATCCTTCAGGGCCAGTTGTGTTTTACGTTACTGAAAATATCAGGGTTTTTTCAAGGAGGTACGGTGGAACAAAGTTGTTTCCCCAAAAGAAGTGGTTCTCAAACACTGGTTTGTGTATCGATGGTACAGTACTACTTAAAGTTCCCTCTGGTGGTATATAGGGTGAACAGCTTCTAATTAGGATTAGGCTAGTGTGTGTGTATCACTACTTTTGTACATTGTAGACGGCTTCTTTAGCTGAAGTAAATTCTCTCCATGAGCTGGTGGACGACGCAAAAAAGTTTGAGAAAGTCTGTTCTTAAGAAAGTAAAAAAAAAACATTTCCGGATGTTTCATTGAGTTGATAATCAAAGGTCGGCCGTCGATTTCCGGATGAGTTGATAATCAAAGGTCGGCCGTCGGTCCAGTAACAGCACGAAAATGTCATATTTAGCTGAAAGTAGTAGAGAAAAATCTGACGTGTGCTCATCTGTCGTCGGGCAGAAAACTTTGTTCATAGGTTGTAAACAATAACAAGTTGTTTGTTTTCCATTTTAGCTTCTCGTGAGTGTAAAGAACATTTGCTGCTCAGTCGGTTTTAGTTTGTAAATAGTCACTAAAAAATATCCACTGTAAGAAAACATGGTTTCAAATCCCGCTCACGTCTTAAACTCCGGCGTGTTCTCCACCGCCAGGAGGTCTGGATGTTTATTACACATTTATACGACGCAGTATCATTTAATATCAACAGTGTTAACGATGGGTCGTACGATAAAAGACGCATCGTCCTGTTCTACTGCAGGTGTTGATTCACGCCACGTGACGTCACAAGGTTTTCATAGCAATACGTAGCGATGCATGGTTCAGCACGGCCGTAGTGAGAAGCCTCTCCACCTAGATCCTAACTGTGTGTGGACTCAAGTGAAACATGTCGACCTAAAGGCCTAGAATAAACATTTTTGAGCTCAAATAAAGGCATAAAGCATCGTCTCTGCTGTCGTTCTTTTTTTTTTAAATGTTTGAAACTTTTGTCATCGTCAGTCTGACTCACCGCCTCTGTTTGACATTGTTACTTGTTCTTGGGAATCTTGGTAGTAAAAATATTTATTTTTATGTAGCGGTGTCGTTAATAGCATTATAATAATGTAATATCAGTAAGAATTGTTATTGTTTTTATTATAAACTTGATAAGACAATGCCTGGGTTTGGACCAGATGAAAATTGTTTTAAAGTAAAAGTGAATTATTTTCATTGTGACACAGCAAACCATATTGCTATTGCAATACAACATTGCTATTACAACATCGGCATATCGAATATCAGACATCCTTATTTTTTAACCTAACAATGTTACATTGAAACAGAAATATAAAAATAAGTGATCAAATTTGATCAAATAAAGAAAAATGGACAAAAACACAATCTAGAAAAACACTGTTGCCAATGACTTACTGAAGTAATCAAGCTTTGGTAAAAAAAAAAAAAAACATTAACTAAAATTTGAGTTACACTACCGCCACCTACTGGCTCTGTCTTAGAGACGTCTTAGATTTATTTTTAAACCAAATGTATTGCATGTAGAGTAAATGGCCTTAGGACCAGATTCATATAAAACATGTCATACAATAGTTAATGTGTATGACAAAAATGTTGAAGACTCCAGACTAAAGGATTCAGTTTGATTCAGATTAAATCTCGGATATAATTGGATTTGGTCTAGTTTTGTTATACGTATGTATGTATATATACATTTGACACGTTTTTTTTTTACAATATTTCCATCACTGGACACACCTTGATACTGAGCCCTGGAATAGTGCTCGTAGGCGGTTGCATAGGGCGCCATCTGCTGGAGAGAGCGTAGCTGAAATCCCTTCAGAAAACGAAATGTATTAAAGTAAAGTATCAGTTATAATTTAAAGCCTTGATTACGTTTGTATTAACATGATACAAAATTATAAATTAATAAATGATATAACATTGCACTGTTTTATATTGTTGGGCATAAAAAAGCTCTAAATATTTGCACAAAATCAGAACAGAATGTTATGTTTTTTATTTATTTATTTTATTTTTATGATGTTATGTTTTTTGTTTATTTATTTATTTTATTTTTATATTTTATTTAGCGTGTGTTTGTCTGTGTTTTAAAGTAATTGATAAAAAAAAAAGAAAAGAAAAGCATCATATTTCTAATGTCGTATAACGTTTGGGTTGATGTGTGTGTGCGCGCACGCGCGCGCTCGTCTAAATCCCCAACATGACCAGAGCGCGTTCTAGTCATAATCCTAAAGGTCAGAGGACTGTGTGCGCAGGTTCAAAACAGCCGTAATACACCTTTAAACCGCGGCGTCGTCGCCCATTAAATAAACAAACCAATGACGCTGAGGATCGTGGCACGTGGAGCGTCCACTGTGACAGAGACACGAACTGATGCTGCTGCTGTCGGTGCGGGTGTTTTCAGACCTGTCCAGGAGCTCGTCGGATCGTGAGATCAAGGTAAACCGGAGATGATAGCTGTCCGCACGGTGACGTCATGATAGAAAGTGACTAGCCGCAGCGCGGTGGAGGGAGGGAGGGAGGAAGGGAAGGAGTGAGGCTAGCACTGAGTCAGCGGTGATTTGAAAATAGCGTTTTGTGCCTGGGGTTTATGGTTCTACCCATTGGGGTGTTAGCAGCGAGGCTAACGTTAGCATGAAGCTTCAGCAGTCAGAGACAGACAGAGAGACAGAGAGAGACAGAGAGAGAGACGGTATCCAGTGACAACAGAGGTCAGTCAAAGCAACACGACCTTTTAGCCTTTCACTACAGCTGGACAAACAGGAGTGACGTCCTGTCACTGACGCCGGAGCCACAGCTTTGACAGAGGAGTGATTGTAACGTCATCAATCTCTGCCCAGCTCCGTGTCCAGGTCCGTGGCCTCGGGATGGTTATGTAAGAGCCGAGAGGTCAGGGTTTCCTTCGGTCACTGGGAGGAAATGGAATTACAAGATCCCCAGCAATGAAGTAAGGTGCTATTTACAGAAAGGCTGGAGGGAAAACAAGTCGAACTGCTGCCAGGAAAATAAATAAGAATCCCAAAAGGAAGTGTAGGGAGAGAGAGAGAGAGAGAGAGCTGGAGTTAACCATCCTGTCAGATGGTTGTTGTCATTTACCAGCGTTAGTGAAGAAGAAGAAAAATAAATAAATAAAAACATACAGAAACTGTATTTAAGTTCAAACAGGTCACACAGAGAATTCCGTCTTTCTAGAAATTCGGGGAATGTTTTTTTTTTTACAACCAGTCACAACCTGCGTCATTTTTCAGTTGTTTTGTTTTTTTTAGCTTCAAGTTTTTCAAGTTTTTAAAAACAAACAGATGTTTTAAAAAATGTTTGTTTTTAAAGCTGTTTCAATAAACGCTGACACAGCTCAACGATTGACAAATATATAAGGATAAAACTTGTCAGAACTGATACACCTGCAGGACATGTTTTAACATGTTTATGTGATTAAAATAAAACAAAACATTAAATATATATATAAAAATATATATAAATTATAATATACATACACTTAGATGTTTATATTTTCTCTCTGTTTTTAGGGTATGTTGGTTTAAAAATATTTTAAATTTCATTTTTTACAGTGAGTTCTAAAATCATATCAATAGGAACTCACTTTTGATTTGACATTTATTCTAATTTTAATAATAATAATAATTTCCATCATTAATAATAAATCAGCTGTCTACTCAAGTTCAACCAATTATATTTGAAAAAAAAAAAACATCTTCCCAAAGTGAACTTGAAGTACTCTGTATAAATACTTCATAACGAGTACTGCAGTTATAGTTACAGGTAATGTCAGTTCATTTGTTGTTTTGATTTCCTTCTACTGATTTATGGTTTTATGGTGTTTCTTTAAATAACGTCGCTGCGTCACTTATTTACGTAGATGACGTAGATATATAACGTCAACTGTGGCATTCGAGAATTCCCGGAAGTTTTGCCCTTAATTATTGAGCTTTAGTTTATTTTTTACCGTGTTTGTTCCACAGATTTGTCGTAATGTCGTGTATAATTTTGTTCATTTTTATTTTATTTATTTTTTGTAACGGAGAGAAAGTATTTCAGTATAAACAGGTCAAACTGAAGATTACGGACCGTTGGTTTTTGGGGTTTGTTTTGTATTTAGTGTTAGCTCAGCTCTCCAGCGGGGGGCGGGGCTGTGATTAAATTAGACGGAGCCGCACTGATACCAAATGACTAGCTAATGGCTAATGTGTGTTATTTGTTTAGTTTTTTGGTCATTTTCGGACGACGTCGCAGTGGTCAGTTACAACAATAATTAACTCCGTTTCTCCCTTTGTCCAGCGGCTAACCTCGCTCTCTCTCTCTCTCTCTTTCCCGCTTCATTATTCATCTCTTCGCGCTCCGGTTCTATGATCGTACCGTTTATTTTCCGACACGCCTTGAACACACCCATAAAACTCGTTCTTATTAAATCAATTTTAACGGTATTTTTCCACGAAATATGTAATATTGTTTATTTGTTTGGTTTTAGTAAAGCGTTATATAAGAACCATCGTCCTTTTACCACGTTATAATAGTTTTAAGAGACATTATTATTATTATTATTTCAGATTCATTTCCAGCCAACACTCCGGCGCGTAATAGGTTTTTCCTAACGTTCCTTAAACGCACCCTCCCGACCCCCCCTTTCTCTCTCTCACTTTCCTGATCCTGGTTGTCAGTTCTATGCCCGGGTTACACAACCGTCAGCTCCGCGGTGTAAACTAGAAGCACGTGTTAGCGGGCGGTGCTGAATCACGTCACTCCGCCCGACAACAAAGTGGAAAAACACCAGAGGAGGAGTCGCGGAGCTGCCGAGGCTCCGGTGATCCACTCTGGTTTATTAAAATCAAAAACTATGAAGGAGAGCCGGGGTTAAAAGAGTGTCCATGAACGCCACCATGTGTCTGCCTTACAGAGACGACAATGACACGAACATGATCAGCGCCGATGGCTGCTCCAAACGCGAGGAGACAGTGTTGGACAGAGGCCGGGGCAGGAGGAGGCCCCCGCCGGCAGAGATGCTCCATCTGCTCTCGGCTGTCTTCGTCTGGCTGCTCACGGGAACCACCATCTCCAGCCTGAACAAATGGATCTTCACCGTGTACAACTTCAGGTTCCCGCTGCTGCTGTCAGCGCTGCACATGCTCACGGCCATCGTGGTGGACTACGGGTTGATCAAACTGAGGCTGGCGCGGCACCGGGGGGCCGTGGAGCGGGACCTCACCACCAGCGCCAAGTGTAAAGTTTTCATGTTGAGTCTGACCTTCTGCGCCAGCATCGCCTTCGGGAACCTGGGTCTGAACTACGTCCAGCTGTCCTTCGCACAAATGATCTACACCACCACCCCTCTGTTCACGCTCGCCATCTCCACGCTGATACTGGGCGAGCAGCATCACATCCTCAAGTACACGGCCATGATGCCCATCTGCCTGGGGGCGTCCTTTGGAATCATGGGAGAAGCCAAGTTTGATCAAACCGGGTGTTTCTTTGTGATCGCTGCCACCATGCTGAGAGGGGTCAAGTCCATACAGCAGAGTGAGTACAAAAAAAAAAAACACAAATAATTAACCCTCTGTCACCAGAGACACGCAATGATACCAAAAAATTAGCATTTGATCCAACATGGCTCAAAGTTCTTTAAAAAGAAAACTGCTTTTCACCTCCATATGTGCTCAAAATATTAGTACTAGTACAGTGCAACCTCTTGTTTATGTCTGTGTAGGTTCTCAGTCGTCCAGGTCGTAACAACATCTTGTTTAGCTCCTCAAAATTCCCAAAAGACATTTTTTCAAAAACTATTTTTTTGTCTTATTATGAGCTTTTGAAACTGATAAAATGAATTTTTTAAATGAAAAAAATGTCTATCCTATATTTTAATGATATGTTTGGCTTTATTTATTTTTCATTTTTACTATATTTTGTGATATTTGACTATTTTCAAAATTTAAACCAACTTTTTTTATTATTATTTTTGCATTGATAATATGTGAATATTTTTACATCACAGACGTCACGCCGTCCTAAAACCCACTGACATCACAGGATATCATAGTGTCTCCCCCAGGACAGTGAGTCCTGCAGTAAGTCTGCGGTTGTCCTCAGTCCTGTTACTCACTGTTATGTCCGTCGGTTCCCACGGTAACATAATAAACAACAGGCTTCCTCATTCCTGTTGGCTCGCTGTGTCTGGATGTTTACACTGGTGTTTCCACAGTTGGGAAATTATGAAACACAAACAGTGAGGTGACGAGTGAAGGTGTCGGTTTCTGCCGGTCATGATGGATGGATGGATGGATGGATGGACGGATGGATGGATCACAGAGGCTGTTCTGTGCCGCTCGTTCTCCCAGTAATTTAACAAATGTCACAGTTTATACGACACGGACTCTTGTTGTCGTTTGAAGAAAACAGATTCGTTCCGTTCAACTCAAGTCACATGTTCGGCCTTCAGTCCACGACTGTTCAATGTTCTGTCCCTGCAGAACCACGGGTTGAACATCGGGTCACACAGAGGGGGGCGTTGTGTTTAAATCGTTTCGTAATCCGACAGCAGATTTTGAAATTGTAGCCTCGTGGTTCGGGGGCCGAGCGTGTGACGTAAACATCAACCAGGTTTGAGGAGGTGAAGAAATAGGAGTGGACTCTGAAACGACCTCCGACAGAAGTGACTCTGATGTTCTCTTTGATGTCCGCACTGAGGGTTTGAATCCGACACCTGAGTCTTCCTGTCTCAGGTGTCACTGTACTATTTTTGTCTCTTACACTCGTCGTTGTCTTCACATTCTCTAATAAGTGTTTTTTTTTTGGACTTGGGGCAGTGGTGGCTTAGTGGTTAAGGAGGCGGAAGTTACCATTGAGGTGCGCTGAGCATGACACCGTCCCCACACACTGCCCCCTGCTGACCTTGGTGATGGGTTTAAAACAGAGGTCACATTTTGTTGTGTGTGCAGTGGAATCACGATGACAAGAAGTTGTTTTGTTTTGTTTGTTTGTTTGTTTTTACAAAGTTTACTGTGAATTTATGCTATTAGCTAAAAAAACAAAAACAAAATTAGCTTTCCATTCACTGAAATATTGTGATATTTGATTTCAAAATATTGTATCGATATTCCAGAGTACTATATGGATTCTTTATTAACAGTCAAATATTCATCGTTGGTTTATTTTTTTTGCGTTTCTTTTCTTGTCTATTGATTACAAAAAATGTAATAATTTCCAGAAGAAACAAAATGAAGCTAGAATATCCAAAATTATTCACAGAGAAAAGAACCATAGCAATAGGTACAACTCAGAATGTGGCTGTAATGGTTAGCCTACACGTAAGCTTAAGGTTAGCCCGTCTATGAGGCCTTGAAAACCGGTAATGAACGCTCTCTAAATATTCAGGGTGAGAATATTTAAAGAGCGTATATTAATGTTCCACCCGTGTGTTTTCATGTCCCTGTGGTCCAGGCATCCTGCTGCAGGAGGAGAAGATCAACTCCGTGTCTCTGCTCTACCTGATGTCCATTCCCAGCTTCTTCATCCTGTCTCTGGCGGCTCTGGCCGTGGAGAACTGGACGACGATGGAGTCGCCGCTGCACTACGACCGCCGCCTGTGGGTCTTCATCCTGCTGAGCTGCCTGAGCTCCGTCATGTACAACCTGTCCAGCTCCTGCGTCATCACGCGCACCTCGGCCGTCACCCTGCACATCCTGGGCAACCTGAGCGTGGTGGGCAACATGCTGCTGTCCCAGCTGCTGTTCGGCAGCGAACTCACGCCCCTCAGCTGCGCCGGCATCGCGTTGACGCTGTCCGGCATGCTCATCTATCAGAACTCGGAGTTCATCGTCAGCTACCTGGACGGACGCAGAGTCCGAGTCAAGGGGTCGGGGGGTCGCGTGGACGGTCTCGTGGACGGTCTCGTGGACGGTCTCGCGGTGCGTGGACAGGATTTGGACCGAGTGGGTCAATCTGAGCCCACGTGTCGTCCGCAGAGGACAGAAAATAATCAGGACGACAAGACGGACTGAGGGGACGGGCTGAAGGACAGGAGACGGTTTTAGACAGTTTTAAATGCTAATTGAAATGCTATTTCATTTTCAACCCGTCAACTCTCCCACTGTGCCAGTTCAGTTGACCTCTGGTCACAAGGTCACAGGAAACTGGAGTCGACGGAGAACAGGAAGTGACCTTTAGTATTCCACATGATGGTTGAAGGTCGAGTATGCAGACATTTTTACACGGTCCGCAAACAGAGCATGTAGCACCCTTCCTTCCTATCCAGCAGGGGGTGCTATAAATAGTTTGAATGTACTAAACTTGTCTGACAGTTCAACAGCATACAACAAGAGGCTTCATTTATGACAGGAGTCCAGGGTCAGGGTTAGGGTCGGGGTCAGGGTCGGGGTCAGTCGGTCCCTGTGAGATGATCCGGAAAATTCCTGCGCACCTCACCTTTAACCTCGGTCCGTCATCGGTACCCAGACTGTTCGATACCTCAGCAGGTATTCACACTGTATCTCCACTGCTCCACTGTGAAGACGCCGTGGTTAACGGAGGGCTAGCACGAGAGAGCGGCCCGCGCTTAAAGACATTTTTATTATTATTTTTTTTAATTTAATTTCCTGACCGCCGGGTTCTGGTAAAGTGGGGACCTGGCTGTTTGTGGCAGCTTTTTGAATTTTCTTTTTATATATACACTATATAAATCTATATTATATATATGTATATATATAATATATATTCTTTTTTTATTATTTCAGTAGTTTAAGTTAGGAGGGTGAATTTGTTGCTGTTGGGCTCGAACCCCTTTTTATGGAAGTTTACGCAGACGCCTCTTCTCCACTGAAGCACAGTTCTACTCCGAGGCGTTCACTAAACTGATCTCCCATTTATAGAGATGGTTTTTAGTGTCGTTCCAGTGTTGTTGACTCAGACACCGACACAGACGGAACACAGTGGATGTGAACCAATCAGAGCCATTGTTATTATGTATTTATTTATTTTATTTTTTTTTCTCCCTTAGTGTCAAAATTGACACTGATTTGGGTTGGGGGTTCAAATGCCTTATTTGTGACGTCGTTTGAAGTCGTTTTAATTCATTAGAACAATTGGCAGCAAAAAAAAAAAAACTGTATCTGGACGTATCTGGTGTGAACAGAAGGGGGCAGCATAACAGTATTTTAAAAATGTCTGATCAATAGAGAGGACTTCTTAGAGTGTCTTAACTTTTACTGTTTTGTTTTTTTTTCTCACCAACATTAGACATAGAGGCGCTCTAACCAGAGACGGTCGTCTCTTGGACCATGGACCGTGTCACCTGGTCACTGTAGTCGTTCTGCAAACAGAGCGATTTTAGTCTAATGTTTCATTAATTTCACTGTGAGCTGGCTGTTGAATTTAAACCCAGGACTGTGAAGGCATCACTGGCGCCGCTCTGCTGGTTGGAGTCCAGACCGGTTCCCGTCCCCAACATCGACCATGTGACACTACATGAGTCCAACACAAGAAAATCAGAACTGTTCCTTTAAGGCCTGGATTTTTTTTTTAATTATAATTTTTTTTACCATCTTTTTATGGCCTCTGTGTGGCGCTGCTGCAGTGGGTTCTATATTTAACATCACTTCAGGCTGACAATTAGATCCACGGGTTCTCTAAGGAGTGCCACTCATTTATAACAGCCTCGTCCCGGGGGGGTCGGGGGTGGGGGGGAACTGTCCCTTCATTCTCTTACATAACAATCAATGTCAAACTTTTTGCAGATGATGTGACGTTTGAAAACCAGCCCGTCTTAGGAAAACGATTTATTTTTTGGCGTTTTTGGTGTTTTTTTTTAAGGGTTTACTCTACAGAAAGAAATCTTACTCCTCTTTGACCCCTCCCCCTTTTTTGGGCTAATCTCATGGTATGGAATATTTATTTTTGAGTGTCTTGAGTCGCCTTTGTATACGCACAAACCTGATGTACGATGTTTCTGTTTCAGTTCTACCTCTTTGTTTGGAGTCGTCAGTCGCTGCTGCGCCGCCTGTCGTCCGTGTCATTCCCTACCCTTCCCGAACTGTTAGTGCCCCCCCTTCAGGTTGACTAACGTATGACACGCCCGGCCTTCAGAGATGTGTAAATCGAGCTCTTCTCAGTCGTATTCCCTGTATATTCCCGCTAATTTGCACTTAAAATCCTGCTAGCAGTAAATTAACTAATTTATGTTTTTGTTCAGACAAAGTATTGAATCTGTAGAACTCTTAATTTATTTTTTTTAGATGCGTTGACGTCACATTTGTCCATCGTGGAAGGAGGGGCGTTGTTTAGCTTGTTCGCAAATTAGCAAAAAGCTAATTACATATCACTGTTACTTTAATGTTTAACCAATTTAAAGTTCAAGGTGTGCTTAGATCAGTGGTTTCCTAACTTCTTCCGCAGCGCCCCCTGTTTGTAGATAGGAGATAGGCCCGCAACCACATCCTAACATAAGCAGCCCTAAAACTCTGTTGTACTTTACTTAGTTTACGGTGATACTACAACATTAATATTCTCATCGAACAGAGAAAATACAATTCCAAATCAGTGCGATTCTCAAACTGCAGCGCAAAAAAAACAGTGTTCATTTACTTTTTTGTTTTGTTGTTTTGGTTTTTTAATCCACCAACACAGAACTCCATCAAAGTGTTCATTTGTTGAGCATCCTTTTTTTTTGCCAAAAGAAAATGTGCAAATTTAGCAGAAAATATTCGTTTGTAAATGTGCCTGGTTCAGTAGCACTGGTACGTGTTGAACAGACTTCTCGTATTTACAGTTTATTATCATAAAACTCACGGTTGACTCGAAGGGTGAAGTTGAAAAGTTGATCACTGTTGCTTTCCTCAAATACCTCAACCGCTAATTACGCTGAATGCTAACGACTTAGCTAACGTTGATATGGTCGGAATGAGCTCCTGAACAACAGTGACCGTTGGTTCGGTTTGGGCTTCCCGATCAAACTTAATGACAAACTTACTTACGTTTCGATGAGACGACGTTCGTGGGCGGCGCGACATTTGCACTGAACGACGTTGTCCTCGAACACCTGCTGTAACTGTGTCCGTTCAGGGTCGGGCCGTTGGCGGCGCTACTCCGATGTAAATGGTTATTTATTCTATTTATTCTGTTTTGTAGTTCGACTGTTTATGGCTGGTTCTAGAGCCGACCGGTTGTAGGAACGGAACCGTTGCCTCATTGCCTTATTTTGGACACACTGGAGACGAGGACAGAGGACTAAATGACGATTAATGTTTTTTGTTTTGTTTTGTTTGATAATGCTTTGAATGCTAACAGCAGCTGTTTATAGGTGTTTCTGTTCAGAGAACTGACTGGAAGAATAAATAACAACAGCCGCAGTGTTTTAGTGTCGTTAATTATATAATAAATACAATAAATATATTTACACTTTGATTTCAGGCTTATTTCAAGCAGGGACCGCCTTCAGTGCTATCTAGGTTTTCTGAGTTAAAAATAATCTTTTATCAACTGAAAATTCCCCACCAACACAACGCTGCAGTAACTCAGTTTATCCCGTAGGGGTCTCTGACCTTGTAGAAGAACTCTGATTTAAACGACTGTAACAAATGTAAACTCAAAGTTAGCCAAGAAACGGCTAACAACGCGGGCTAAAAATAGAACTACATCGAGATGTAAATAACCAAGACGGAAGTTTTTTCGTTAAATTAAATTGAAAATAGACAAATTGGACAGATACGATTTGAATTAATAAAAAAACTTTATGTATAATTTTATACATCTCTGAAAAGATTATACAAAAAAGAGGTAGGACATTTGATCAGATTAGACTGGAAATATCAAATTCCCTTGTTTTAGTCACTTCTACCAGAAGAGGGAGACAAAGAGCCCACATAAAATCCCCAGCCTGCATTGATGTGTCCATTACTATCAAAATAAAAAAAAGTCCGATTTAACAATTTAACAAAGAAAAACATATATTATATTATATGTCTGACAACAAATACAGAAAATGATTTAAAATCAGGATTGTTGAGGATAAACCTCACAGTTTTATCATCTGATGTTTTCTTTTCTTATCCTACTTTCTTCTCTCTGTGAATCCACGCTCTCGTTTCTATCCTTCTTAAATTCCTTTGTGACTGTAAACACAGTTCCCTGGTCAGTTTTTGCCTGAATAAGGCAGC